CCACCCGCCTGCGTCCCGGTAGTGTGGAACTGCGGCGTAGGCGCCTCTGTTTTCCTTCTCTAATCATAAACCATGTACACAGGGGCGTCAAGGAGGTGCACAGAGTTGCCTGTTCGTGTATGTGTCAGTGGGGCCCATGAGGTACATGTTAATAACTAGTTACATGTGCATTATGTTATTGTAATCTTGATATTTTGTCGTAAACTCCAGCGCGAGAATTGGGAATATTGTAAGAGGCGGGTGGAGTGAGGGATCGTCCTGTATGTAGTATGTTCTGGACGGAGGGCTTGGTGTAGGGTCCAGGCAAGGTACATAGTGTAGGTGTAGTTTGAAGGTGAGATAAATGCGCGTGCACACATACACATACACACACACATACACATACACATACACACACACACACACACACACACACACACACACACACACACACACACACACACACACACACACACACACACACACACACACACACACACACACACACCCATGCCAGCTCTGCTCCACCACCCCTCCCCCCATGCCCTCCTCTTCCCCCTCCCCCCCCATCACCCACCCAATGCTCTTCCTTGTTCCCCCCACCCCAGGCTCCCCTTCCTACTCCATCCCCTTCCACCCATCCCTCTCGTCACCGGGTTTCCATTCATTCCCCAACCCGTGAGCTCCCTCCCCACCCACCCATGTCCTCCCAGCTCTCCCATCCCATGTCCTCATTGTCCCCCCTCCCCCCCGATTCCAGACCCTCTCAACTCCACCATCCCAGACCATCCAAGGCCTTCCTATTCCAGATTCCCCCCCCCCACCAGATCATCCTGATCTACCCTTCCTAGACTCTCCACGCCCTCCCATCCCAGACCCATCCAGCCTCAGCATCCCAGACCATCCTAAACTCCATTATTCCAGATTCCGCTCCCTCCCTTCCCAAGATCATCCTAGTCCCCCTTAACTAGACTCTCCATGCCATCCCATCTCAGACCCCTCACTGTCTCCCTACTGCAGCAGCATCAAAGGACACTGAGATAGGACTGAAGCATGGCAGCTTCAAAGTAATGTACTCAAACATAGATGGGATAACAAAGCAAATAAATTTTGGGAAAGAGCACAAGAAGAGAATCCAGATATAATATGACTCACAGAAACAAAACTGCCAGGAATCATAACTAATGCAGGGTTTTTCCCAGGACTATATTGTAATAAGGAAAGAGAGAGAGAGATGAGGAAGGAGAGATGAAGAATAGCATTATTGATAAGAAAGGACTAGAGCTTCGAGGAGATGGTTAGTCGAGGCTGCGAGGGGTTCTTGGACTACATAACAAGCTCCATGACGATGGGAGGACCAACAGTATGAATTAGCATTGATATATGACCCTTCACAAAATGACAGAAGACCCGGGCAAGAGTATAACAAAATCAACATAGTTGTTAATAATATAATTGAAAGGGCAGCCTCTGTCGCCTGTAGAAATTGATCCCGACTGTTTATCATGGAGGAGATTTCAACCCCAGAAAGATAAACTGGGAGAACAAATAACCGCATAGAGGCGAAGAAACACTTAGAACTAAACTACTGGAAGTGGCAACAAGAAACATTTTAAGCCACCACGTCAGGAGACCCACATGCATGAAGGGTAACGACGAGGTTATCTTGAGATGATTTCAAGGCTTTAGTGTCCCCGCGGCCCGGTCCTCGACCAGGCTTCCACCTCCAGGAAACAGCCCGTGACAGCTGACTAACTCCCAGGTACCTATTTACTGCTAGGTAACAGGGGCATTTAGCGTGAAAGAAACTTTGCCCACTTGTTTCTGCCTCGTGCGGGAATCGAACCCGCGCCACAGAATTACGAGTCCTGCGCGCTATCCACCAGGCTACGAGGCCCCATAAACTTTATAAACTGAGGCCCCATAAACTGAGCCAGCTAAACTCTATCTTGTAGTCACTCTGAACGACACCGACGTAAGAGAAATCCACCTTCGAAGCCCCCGTGAGAGTGGGCGATCACAGTGTATTAATGTTCGAGTATCTGGTATAACAAATGGCCGCTGTACCGAGTTTCCTCATCAACAATTGTCTCAGTTCTTGTCATCTCATAAGGCATCTCACCAGCATGACTTACAGCATCTACAATAGACTCTGAATGGTCATACATCATCATAAAATGCTGCTAGTGCCTTACAGCATCAACTGTGACCCCTGCACGGTCTTACAGCATCAACTTTGACCCCTGCACGGTCTTACAGCATCAACAGTCACCCCTGCACGGTCTTACAGCATCAACTGTGACCCCTTGCACGGTCTTACAGCATCAACTGTGACCCCCTGCACAGCCTGACAGCATCAACAGTTACCCCTGCACAGCGTTACAGCATCAACAGTCGCCCCTGCACGGCCTTACAGCATCAACAGTCACCCCTGCACGGCCTTACAGCATCAACAGTCACCCCTGCACGGCCTTACAGCATCAACAGTCACCCCTGCACGGCCTTACAGCATCAACAGTCACCCCTGCACGGTCTTACAGCATCAACAGTCACCCCTGCACGACCTTACAGCATCAACAGTCGCCCCTGCACGACCTTACAGCATCAACAGTCACCCCTGCACGGTCTTACAGCATCAACAGTCACCCCTGCACGGTCTTACAGCATCAACAGTCACCCCTGCACGGCCTTACAGCATTAACAGTCACCCCTGCACGGCCTTACAGCATCAACAATGACCCCTGCACGGCCTTACAGCATTAACAGTCACCCCTGCACGGTCTTACAGCATCAACAGTGACCCCTGCACGGTCTTACAGCATCAACAGTCACCCCTGCACGGCCTTACAGCATTAACAGTCACCCCTGCACGGCCTTATAGCATCAACAGTCGCCCCTGCACGGCCTTACAGCATCAACAGTCACCCCTGCACGGCCTTACAGCATCAACAGTCACCCCTGCACGGCCTTACAGCATCAACAGTCACCCCTGCACGGCCTTACAGCATCAACAGTCACCCCTGCACGGCCTTATAGCATCAACAGTCACCCCTGCACGGCCTTACAGCATCAACAGTCACCCCTGCACGGCCTTACAGCATCAACAGTCACCCCTGCACGGCTTAACAGCATCAACAGTCACCCCTGCACGGCCTTACAGCATTAACAGTCACCCCCGCACGGCCTTATAGCATCAAGAGTCACCTCTGCACGGCCTTACAGCATCACTTCACCCCTGCACGGCCTTAAAACATCAACAGTCACCCCTGCACGACTTTACAGCATGAAGAGTCATCCCTGCACGGCCTTATAGCATCAAGAGTCACCTCTGCACGGCCTTACAGCATCACTTCACCCCTGCACGGCACGGCACGGAGAACTGCAGAGTTCTCTCTCAGAGTACCTGTTGCACCTCTGCTTTTCGACGGGGGTATTCTGCACATCCTGCCATGTCTTCTGGTCTCATGTGATGTTATTTCTGTGTGCAAGCTTGGGACCAGCCCCTATAATATTTTCCACGTGTAAATTATTATGTATCTCTCCCGCCTGCGCTCAAGGGAGTACAGATTTAGGCTCTTTAGTCGGTCCCAATAGTTTAGATGTTTTACTGAGTGGATTCTAGCAGTAAAGGATCTCTGCATGCTCTCCAGGTCAGCAATTTCTCCAGCTTTGAAAGGTGCTGTCATTGTGCAGCAGTACTCCACTCTAGAGAGCACAAGCGTTTTGAAAAGTATCATCATCGGTATAGCATCTATAGTGTTAAAAGTTCTTGTTATCCAACCTGTCATTTTTCTTGCAGTTGTGACGGCTACTTTATTGTGTTCTTTAAAGGTAAGGTCTTCCGACATGAGTACACCCAGATCCTTTACATTGCCTTTTCGTTCTATGTTATGATTTGTCTGAGTTTTGTATGTGGTTTCCGCTTTTATATTTTCATTTTTTCCGTAGCGCATGAGCTGGAACTTATCTTCGTTAAACACCATATTATTTTCTGTAGCCCATAGAATGACCTGATCTACATCTGACTGGAGATTTGCCGTGTCCTCTATGTTGCCTACTCTCATGCTTTACGTTGCACGTTGCCTTTACGTTTACGTAAAGGGTACGTTGCTTTAAAACATAACGTTAAAAGTGGTTCCAAGGAAGGACCCTGTCTCTCATTAGCACATTCCTTAATCTCTCTATTGTTCTCTGCAAGTGACATCACGGCCTGTGTCATGATGTCTTGCATCAACTCATATCTGGCTCTGACCGTGGAATGGCGTGACCAGCGCACGCAATGACTGTGCGCTGGAAAAAAAATAAACGCACAGTCATTGTGTCGTTTCCCACATCAACAGTCACCCCTGCACGGCCTTTCAGCATCAACACTTACCCCTGCACGGCCTTACAGCATCAACAGTGACCCCTGCACGGCCTTACAGCATCAACAGTCACCCCTGCATGGCCTTACAGCATCATCAGTCACCCCTGCACGGCCTTACAGCATCATCAGTCACCCCTGCACGGCCTTACAGCATCAACACTTACCCCTGCACGGCCTTACAGCATCAACAGTCACCCCTGCACGGCCTTACAGCATCAACAGTCACCCCTGCACGGCCTTACAGCATCAACAGTCACCCCTGCATGGCCCTACAGCATCATCAGTCACCCCTGCACGGCCTTACAGCATCATCAGTCACCCCTGCACGGCCTTTCAGCATCAACACTTACCCCTGCACGGCCTTACAGCATCAACACTTACCCCTGCACGGCCTTACAGCATCATCAGTCACCCCTGCATGGCCTTACAGCATCATCAGTCACCCCTGCACGGCCTTACAGCATCATCAGTCACCCCTGCACGGCCTTACAGCATCAAAAGTTACCCCTGCACGGCCTTACAGCATCAACAGTCACACCTGCACGGTCTTACAGCATCATCAGTCACCCCTGCACGGCCTTACAGCATCAACAGTCACCCCTGCACGGCCTTACAGCATCAACAGTCACCCCTGCACGGCCTTACAGCATCATCA